ATATATTCATTCTGTATTCAAGCCAATGTAAAATATTAAAAAAAATTAAAAACATAATGTAAAAAGTGAAGTACCAATGAAAGACATACAGTTATGTTTGTAAAAAAAGAACTAAAAAGAAAAGTTTCTAAAAACTGATATAAATAAGTAATATACATGACATGCACATTTATTACATGGAAACTTTTTTTTTACCTTTTGTAGTTTGGAAATTATTTCTTCATAATAAATAAGAAATGGGGCACAAAATATATAATTTGGAAAATATCACTAAAGTTTTATTTCCTGTCAGTTTGCTATATACTCATACGCCGTATCTATAAATAAATGTTTTGTATTGATCTTCATGTTGGCATTTACTTTCCTATATGAACTAATCATATTTTATTGTCTTTTCGTTAGTGCTCCTCAACAGTCGATTTCAGAACAAGCTCAGAAGCCCATTGATGTCAGACAAAAGATTTTTTCAAGTTCTCAAAATCACACAACAGCCTCAGGTGATAATAATATTGTGATAGTAAAATATAGAACTAATTGTATTGCTGACGTGAAAATCCAAGAAGGATGAGTCAAGTGTCAAGGAAGCCTAAGCAGAACAAAGCAGCAATAAACAAGGGTGTGCATATATCTGCCTGGGTGGCATTTTTTATTTCTTTAGGGTATATTCCCATTAGTGGAATTGTTGGGTCAAATAATATTTCTATTTCCAACTTTTTGAGAAAGTGCTATACTATGTGCTTTTACCATTTTACACTGCCACCAACAGTGAATAAGGATTCCAGTTTCTCTGCAACCTTGCCAACATTTGTTGTTTGCTGCACTGTTGAAATTTGATATTGTTACTGGGGTGAGATGATATCCCATAGTTGTTTAATTTGTATCTCTCTTAGAGCTAAGGATTTTGAACATTCCTTCATGTGTTTGTTTGCCATCTGGATGTCATCTTTGGTGAAGTTTCTGCTCATATCCTGTTCCCATTTTGTAGGTGGATTTTTTACCTTTATCTTGTTGTGGCTCTCAAGTATTCTATAAATTCTAGATATAAGTTCCTTATCAGATATGCCATTGTTGTTGCTGTTGTTGTTATGTGCCTTCGGGTCCCTTGCGACTCCTAGCGACCCTATGTACAACAGCCCTAAACTCCGCTCTGTCCTGTGCCAGTCACACTGTTTCTTTTTTTTTTTCTATAATTATATTTTATTAATTTTCATAAACATTTACAGAGATTTTGGGCTTCCACTCATTCATTGTTGCACTATTC